GTGTGACTTTGAAACCAAATTTTAGTGTGATGGCCCAATAAATGTGGCGTGGGGTGAAGGCATCTCCAGGCACAGAATGTTTGGAGAACGTTTTGAGGCCTTTTGGATTCGGCAACGAACACCAAGCCGTAAACAAAGAGCGAGAGCTCATGAGTGATCTCGAAATCATTGGAAATACTCAGTAATATTTTAAAAAGCCACTGACCACAATTCAGTGGAATGCAACGGACGTGTGTTGAAGCTGAGCCATACTAGCCGTTTTCCCACATCTACGTTTTGATAGCAGCTGACACAAAGAGTGTATGGAATTGAGCTGTATTTTTCAATGGTAACACAGAGTAAAACAACTTCAGTTAAAACTTGCTCTGATCTATATGGAGCATAATCAAGTGCAAACATGAACAAAACCCAGTGCTAGCAATTCCAGTACGATCATGCTGTCACATTTGACCCCGACGTTTGAATTCAGCATTTGGTTCTACAGGGTAGGTAGGCATTTTCACTACGGTGACCAGTCAGGGCTCTTCTGAGTTTGACTTGTCTTTTCGATAAGAATAATCTTAACTGAGACTTTCTGGATCCACTTCACAGGTGATGAGGACACCCAAGAAAGATTCACTGGTGTTAAGCCGGCAAAAGTTCGGTCGAGGACCTTAGAAGGCGTGGGCAGCATTGTGCAATAGCGTCCTACTCTCACTGGCCCGCGTATCGAGTATTCCTCATTTACTGTCGTTCCTGAGTGAATGTCGGTAGAATTTCGTCCTAACTTGTGCCAACGCCGCCATCCACTGGAGTGATTCACTAAGTACTGCTTTGTTCAACGAAATCAATGTTATTGGGTGGGCCCACATGAATTTGGGGTCTATCAATTAAGTCATATAAAAACACCTGGGGGAACTGTGGGGCAGATCTGCATTGATGGCTGGTGAAGGAATATTGTAAAAGATTTCAGGTGTTTAGATTTCTAGCGATAATTTCTACTTGCTGTTAATCTGTACAAAGCAGAAATCGTCTAACCAGATTGAATATGTAGTGCGCTTTCAATAAGCATGCTGAAAGGGGGAAGAAGTTGCACTGTTGAAATCACCTTGCCAAGGGTGCCTGCAAACTTATGAAACAGAGGGCATGGTGTTATCCAGACAGTTGAAAAACTGGCAGTGAGAGGTAAGAGTTCCAGAGAGTAAATGGTTTGTCGCAGAGGTGAATACTCCTGCTGTCCATTTTTTGCAAGGTCGATTCTGCAGTCGTTGGCTGAGGTGCATCAAGGAGAAGCGGCACCCCTTTTTCTGATAGCTCTCGCTGGGCGCATGTGCCAAGATTTCGGAGTATTTTGACACCTTGCAAAAAACTGTACCACTGCAGTGGTATGGTCTGTGTACAGAGAAACTGCATGATGGAAAGTTGTGCTGCTTGTTACGAGGTCTGCACCTGCTGCAGACCGCCTACAAGCAGCACAACCTTCCCTCATGCAGTTTACCTTTGCGAGGTTTCATTGACTTCGTGATCGTTACTCACGATCAGTCGAAGAAGGATTATTAAGGATTGCTTGAAAAGAATCTACTTTACACTCCTCGTCACAATCCAAATGGAAATCGGGTTGTTTTCGTCGGATGGAAGAAGGTAGAAGAAGGGTCCAGTTATGCCTGATTTAGCAGCGGCCTTCTAAATAGTTCTAAGCACATTCGGTCCTATCAAATGTTTCAGCTATTTTTTTTAATCAATGTTCGATACCCAACTACTACCCTCACCACCTTCGAGGTACTCGTCATTACACACAAGCTTTCTAAACTTTCACTACACAGTAAATTTTCACTGAATCTGAGTTCAAATCAATAATTAATATTTAGAGCTGACTTCGCTCCTTTTTGTGCTAATTTGCGTTAACGGCGAAAATCGTGCCGGTTGGTCTCTCGAGCATGTCGTATACAAACCCTCGAAAAAGTAGGTGCAATAGCTCTTGAGCATAGCTAAGGCGCTTTCTAAAATTATGCGTAGTACAGAAGTCTGCGAAAAACTCAGTCACAAATAATGCCTTGAAACTTGAATCGAAAACGGCAAGAAATTCCCTCACACCCTAATAAGCTGCATATAAACGACGATACATAAGAAAACTTTGTTAGATTGAGCATATCCAGGATATTCAGGGCAGTAGCGGTACAAACTGTAAGGTTTCCTTCTCTGTAAAAAGAAGCAGATGCTTCTTCGTACGCGTGTAATAGAAAGAACACTCACTCACGGCATCATAGAACAGCGCCGGATATTTAGAAGCCTACGTCAGGTAACTCGTCTCTAAATGGGGCTCTTCTAAGTGATCCGAGTATAACATTGTATAATTCATGTGTAATTGGCAAGATCATGCCCATTTTTCTTGGAAGTTGCTTCTTCCAAGCATATTGAACAGTTTTGCTATTTTCTTAGAATAGGATTTCATTGGGTATCCTCGTGAGGTCAAAGAGAGGCTGTAGTTCTCTCAAAATTCTAGCAATCATCATGTGGTGCCAGATGCGGTGTTATGCGTATGCAAACTCAATTCTGTTGTAATAATGTCGCGTAAAAAGGGTATAGTGCATTGAAGAGGCAGACCATGTTGCCAGACCGTTAAAAATGTGGGCGTGTATGCAACGATTTGCACTCGAGACAAAAAAGAGCGCTATCTGTGGGGAGACGCCAGCTGCACAGGAAGGTTAAAGCATGGCTATAAAACTGAAAAAAAAACCTCAACTGGCACTGCTCTCGTTCAGCATGGACCTCGAGCACCGCATCAAGGCTTACCGCTTCGTCGCCTATTCGGCGGTCACCTTCTCGGTGGTCGCAGTCCTTTCGGTCTGCGTCACGCTGCCGATGGTCTACAACTATGTCCATCACGTCAAGAGGACCATGCACAATGAGATCAGCTTCTGCAAGGAATCCGCCAAGGACATCTGGAGCGAAGTCAACCACCTCAAGAACATCCCAGCCGGAAACAGAACCGCCCGTCAGGCTGGATACGGTGATGCCGGAGTAAGCGGAGGATCTGCCAGCGCTGGTGGTCGCTGTGACTCTTGCTGCCTTCCAGGAGCCGCTGGACCAGCTGGAACCCCTGGTCCAGCCCGGTCGCCCAGGAAAGCCTGGAGCACCTGGTCTGCCAGGAAATCCAGGACGCCCACCACAGCAGCCATGTGACCCAGTCACTCCTCCTCCATGCAAGCCATGCCCACAAGGACCCGCTGGACCAGCCGGACCTCCAGGACCACCCGGAGATGCTGGCCCCTGGAGTGCTGTGATGGACAACCTGGAGCTCCAGGAAACGGTGCACAGCCCGGTCCTCCTGGACCAAAGGGACCTTCCGGACCCAACGGAAACCCTGGAGCACCAGGTGGCCTGGACAGGCTGGAGCCCCTGCAGCCTCAACTCCTCTCGTTCCCGGAGAACCTGGACCAGCTGGAAGCGCTGGACCTCAAGGACCACCCGGACCCAACGGACAGCCAGGACAGCCCGGATCAGCTGGTGAGTTTCAGGCATATTTAGGTTTTAATGGATGTGGGCCAGTTCTGTTCTGTGCAATTAGAATTTTTCTTTTGATTCAGGACAGCCCGGACCCAAAGGACCCAACGGACCCAACGGACAGCCCGGATCAGATGGAAACCCAGGTGCTCCAGGACAATCTGGACAGCCCGGTGGACCAGGAGAGCCAGGAATCTGCCCCATCTGGCTTATTCGCGGTGGAGTTTTCTTCGAGACGGACTCGACCAGCCAGCCTCACAAATGTTAGATACAGCGGCTATTGTATTCATTCTATATCTCAGAAGTTTACTACTAGGATAAAACACTTGTTCTTTTCGGCTCGTGATTCTTTTGTTTCGTTTTAGCGGGTGCTTATGAGGGGGTATTGACATCACCTGTATTAAATAATTTGCCTCTTTAGAGATGAACGTGAAAAACGTGTGCGAGTGGCTGTTGCTGAGTTAAATAAGTCAGCCGTTTTCGCAATTTGCAATAGGATGCCCTGTATGGGCTCATTCGGAGAACAGTAATTTGGTCGTCAGACTCAGCGGCTCTGTACGGTTTGCGGTATCAAGCCATGTCACGTATGTCATTAGGCTGGGAGCCCCTACTCAGAGCGGCTTTTTGACGGGTAAAAGCAATTATCACGAGTTCATTCAAAGTAAAGAAGTCTTTCTATGAATAATTTGGCCGTTTTTTTGAAATGGTTTCAGCTATTCACTGGTTTGATGACATCGCCATGGTGATTATTTATGTCTGCAAACCGACGTGAGGTCGGACACCTTGTTAGTTCTAGTGGGTTTTTTGGCACATGCAGCTCTGAACTGTTTCATCTCCAATTCCAGCTACATTGCGAAACATGAATCTAAAAACCGGAAGATGCGATGCGCGGAATTTGTGAGGGGCCTACGAGAGATAGATATAGCAGAAGATTAGCATAGTGAGTAGGAATTTCGATCGGGGAAGCCATGGAAAGAGCTGCCTAATTAGAGAATTTTGAGTTGCATGATATATCGAGTAATTTAACTATGTAAGATTTGGGAGTACGATCGCGCTGGTGTTTCGTCTTGGTCTATGCTAAACGTTTCATGTGGCTCGGCTTGTTAATCTTCAGAACAGTTCGGAAGGTATGTTTGCATAAGATGAGGGCGGTTCACAATGCAACCTGAATGCGTTGAGGCGCCATTTAGTAACCATTTCATTCGCAGCTAGAAAATAAACCACAGGTCTTGGCTAATTACTTTCGAAGTCGTTCTCTGGTTTTATTATGAAGCTTACTGACGTCGTTAAGAGTCACCTTTAAGCGGTATTTTTGAAAAAGTAAATCGTATGAATTTTGCGAGCAGCATTCTCGACAAATTGAGTCGCTTACGTTAGTTTTTCATGGCAGGAAAGGTAATAGTTAATTCACAGACACGGAAAGAAGCGAACGCGCTTTTTCGCGGCTGGTTTGAGAATTGTTGAAGTGGGGAAATACTTGTATCGTACCTTGTATTAGTATAGTTTCGCAAGGTGATGTGTCTGATGCTTGGGTGATCTTTGTGTGTGACTGTCTGTTCAGAATGTCGTAGGCGGGCACCAGTCGTATCGGAGGTTGATTTTGGTACGTTGTAGGGGGTGGGACGGACATATTGGCACGTTATCTAGGAAGATTACGGCGACACTTTGACAAATACATTAGGGAAATCAAATCACTTTCACTTGTTTTGGCATTGTTTTACTGGGGGGGTGTGTTTTCGAAGCTTACAGAGAGGTACATGGGCTTCAACAACGTTTGCACCAGGCGCACTCCTCTTGTACCTAACCATCTTTTTACTATTCTTGTATTTCTCGGCTCCTCTGAAAGCACCTCTGTTGCAGCTAGCATCTGTACTATATTCAGGAGATGACTCGTTCAGCAGGCCATGGTGTGCCGTTTGTCCCTAAGGCTTCGCATCCGGAGATATTTGACTCAAAGTAAAGCACTGCTCTGGTCGGCTGTAGGTGGTGAATGGTGAGCATTTGCTCAACTTCCCAGAGGCGCAGCCGATTGCTACCAGTCGTGAGTTAGCAACAACGCTGAGGTGCACTAATGACAGTATCGAGGATCCCTACGTTCTTGGTTACAGGGCAGCATGTTCGCAATGGGTACCACATGGGTTGCGCCAGTCTGGGGAGGCGAAGTGTGTGACCATGGTAAGATTTCTCTTCTTTCTTCGCATCAAAGGAATCTCTTGACAAAAATGAAGATTAGGGAAGATAGCTCAAGCCTTGAGGAAACTGTGCACATAAGCTCTATTGGATTCGACTGAGAGTGAAGCTGCCTGCAGGAACCTTGAAGAGAAGGGTTTTTCAGTGGTTTTGATGAGGTTGCATTTTGATTCTTCACAGAGAGCTGCTGGATACTTGCACCGCGGTGATGACCATTGTCGGCTCTAACTAGCTCTGAAATTTGGCCGAAGCCATGCGTAAAGTTCACCCAGAAATGCACAACATTGTGTTACCCTACCCTCACGCATATCTACATGTGACAAAGGATTACGTATCAAAAGATCATGGATTTTGAATGGGAAATTTCGCAGTGCTTGGCTTACTCGTCGGGCTTAGCCGCTTCTAATTATGGGGTAATTAGTGCCCTGAAGCGTCATCCAGAAGATAAAAAATCTGGTGACTGAGGTCAACTCGAAAATGGAATCGATCGTTTCTTTCCAAAGCAAACGCCGAAGACCTAAAGTAAGAGAGTTGAGAAGCTGCCCGGGAAAAGTGTACGTCTCCTATATGGTAATGGTGATAATCTTGCTGATTGAATATTTCATTCAACAAAAGAAGGTGCAATCAAAAATCTTGGACAAAGTGTCGCAGGATTTTCTGGACAACCCAATATTTGGTGAGGTACCGACAACTGATAAGGGCTGATAAGGGGCGCTAGAACGCAAGTGTCGCGAAATTCATAGCTCGGGCACCAGTGGTCGTCAGGAGTTGGTTTCAAGATATGATATAGGGGGTGGGACGGGAACATATTTGGTGGGGTACAGAAAGTGATAACAACTGATAAGGGCTGATAAGGAGGTAGCTACAATGTCACGAAATAATACATTGCATGTGTCCTAGCGACTGTGAGGCGTTGCCTCCAATATATTGTATTAACGGTGGGACGGGAACATATTTGGCGGGTGACAGAAACTGACATCAAGTGACAAATGCTGATAAGAAACCTTAGAAGGGAGGGCAACGGATCTTTTGAAGGGTCATGTTTTATGGGTCACAAAAAGTGAAAATGGCTTAGAAGGGCTAATAAGGAAGCTCGAGTACGAAGGAGTCACTCAAGTTGTTACCTAGAGTTCGTGGTCACCATCGAGATTCGTTAGACCGCCAATCTCTCCAAGCTTTTAAGGATGGTCGGTGTTTGTTGATAATGAGTATTTTGTGTTTCTATTTCAATGCCACATTCATAAGAAGTGTGCAACGCTTAACTTTTCAACATCCGAAGCAATGATAATTAGTTTATACTGTCCTGGTAGTGTAAACAACTATCATGCAGCTCGAGCAATTGTTACTTATCCAAGACTTATTCGGCCGCTAGACCATGTTGGCTCTTAAAAAATGATGGATTGGTTATGGGTAATTGATGAGCTGCAGGAAATGAGTGCCTTATCACCAGCAATTACGACTTTCTTTAGCATGACCTAGATATCCGAGAGTTGAGGTAGGTGCGTCACCGGATGTGACGTGCACTTGATAAAAGCTATGTGGATGAGCTGCTTCAACATGCATCACTGGTATCAGCAAAGCATGCTGGCAACAGCCTATCCACGCAGCTTCTATCAAGTGCACGTCACTTCCGCGTGACAGGCCTACTCCAACGCTCGATACTTGATAGTAAGGCACCAATCATCTGATTACATCATATCAATTGTTACAAAAGCCATCAATGATGTTAACAACTGGGCCGTACAGTGGAAATTGCCTATATCGATTAATAAGTCCAAGGTTCTTCATTTGGGAAAAGTTGCTGTTGCATCCTCCTATTCGATAGGTGGGGTCCAATTAGAAAGTGTCAAGGATATTAGAGACCTTGGCTTCCATATTCGAAGTGATCTCAGTTTTGACGATCACTGCTCGAAGATCGTTGCCAAAGCCATGGCAATGATGTTCAACTTGTTCAGAGCTCTGTCGACAAGGGATTCCCGGGTGCTTCTCAGGGGTCGGTAGTAGAGTGCGCAACGCTAACCTTGATCTTGAGACCCTAGCGTCTAGAAGAAAAAAATTCGACTTGATAACGTGCTTTAAGATATTCCACGGCTACTCTAGGATCAAATCTAGCAGCTTTTTATCAATTAGTGAGTCAAGAACAAGGGGTATCTCTATGAAAACGTCCGTTCGTCGAGCTAAACATAGTATCAGGCACCACTTTTTTGTGAACAGGACTTGCTCAGAGTTCAACAGACTGCTTCGATTAGGAGTCGTCACGAGTAAACTAAACTCATTCAAAGTCGCTCTGGAAAAGTATCTTGCGTCGTAGAGGTTATTTTTCGTAGTTATTGTATATCTATTAGATTGCTTAATTAGTTTTTTTCTTTCGTTGTTTGTAGGACTGTTGATTTGGTTATCTAATTCTACTTGTACCGCATAGGCTTCAGTCTATGCAATAAACAATTACAACAATCAAATTCATTAGAAGCCACGTTATACAAGAGAACGGCTATGCACCGTTCTACTGGAGCGTACTTTGCCTCGCGATAGCGAGCGGAGTTAAAGTGGTAATTTCATGATTGCAGAGGTATACCAAAATGTCATTGAAAATTACTGGAATTCCTTTTTCTTCCTGTTGAATTAGTACAGTGCGTTTCAAAAGTATAAAGCCACCCATGAAAACTAACTTTCCGAGTTAAGGTGAGTATTTCATGGCTTGCCATAAACTTTATTGAATTCAGCGTGTTTGGAAACCATTGTTCTCTTTATTTCAGGAAACAAAATGATTCACATACATTTTTATAAGAAGATTTCCAAATATCCCCTGTTTCAAAAGTATAAAGCCACTTGCAACATAACTCTATTTTTCCAGAGAAAAAGTGAACATCGTAAATATTAGTAACTAGCGTGACTTCCTTTTTTAGAAGTGAGATTTAATAGACCATTTGGCATACTATCCGTGAGCTTCAGAAGTATAGCGGGATTCAGGTGGTAGGAAAACGTCTCGATGGCTGTCTGAGGTCTCCCACGTTACTGTACTGCTTTCCATACGCGTATATCTGTCGGACAATGATACCCCAGGTGTTTTTTATTGGA